AATGTGTACATCTGAAGCAACCTTTGTGAAACACCTAGCATAGAATGTGACTCATTCAAGATGTAAGGCAGCATTGAAATTTTAGACATGTAAACTCTCTGCTAGTACTTTTCATGAAACTTACTTTCTCATTGAATGTTAAACTTTCTGCAATAAATACCCGACCTTGGCAAACGCGACAAAATGTCATGTTTTGTATATGCTTTTATCCTGTGATGTTCGTGCAAATGAAAAATCAGCGACACTACAGGTGTACGATGACTTCGTTGGATTGAGTTGCGCCACTTCTTTCGTTTCTTTTTTTTCCTCTTACTCCTTTTTTTCTTCTGCGAATTTCTTTCTTCGAGACGGTACGACAGAACAGAAACAAATTTTTTTTTTTGACACGTTCGAATTAAAAGATTGATGTTCGATGAAAAACATCAAAATCGTGTCTTACAGACTATGTGCTGTGAAATACGTAAAAACAACTTCTGCGACAATATCTTGTGTGGCATCTGGTTGATAAAACTTAGAAAGTTTTCATCTCGAGCACGATACCTTCATTTATCAATCGGCCACGAGGAAATAATTCATGTTTTGATAAGACTTCAAAGGAGGTGTATTGTTTGAGTCGCAACAAAAAGGTTTGACTTTGAATAGTCATTGATCGTGCTTCACTGTTGAACTGAACGTACAAACTTGTCAGAATAATAGAGATGCAGTATACAACGCAAGAATGAATGAAGTAACTGCAGAAATGGGCAATAAAAAAAAACACCCTTGAGCTATCTTGAAGGTGTGGTTGTGCATCTTCTCTTCTCTTCACTCATACCCACATACACAACTCAGTCACGCCCACGCCAATATCTTACACAAACACCACGACTGATACCTACCAAACTCCTTATTCACACCCAAGATACCCACGTCCGCAGTACACCCACAGCCAACTATGTTTTTTTTTTGATTTCAAAATAAGACCACGAGTCATTACCCACATAAAGTATTGATAATTATGCTGTAGCATTTGTGACATTTATTAAGACCAAGGTTTCCAACACTGGTAGAGCGAAAAAATTGCCAGTAAATACTCTGAAATATCTTTCGTATGTTTCGATTACGTCAATTCTCACCAACAAGCAATTGTGTTCCTAAGCACATTAGATTCAGTTAGCTTTTCATCACATTAAAAGCAGATTATCGTTTTTGTCATCGATGTACAGTTGAACAAAGATTCATGCTTTCACATATATTTGGATTCGATTGGATGTCTAACTTTTTTCATTGAAGTTTACGTGCCGATTATTGTATTCATGGATCATAGGACGAAAACCTCATTTACAAACATTTACTATCGATCGATCCATATAAGAGAACAATCCAATGGTTCGAAGTTTTCACAAATATTTCTCAGCATCTGCTATCTCGATCAATCACCTTGAATAGAATTTTCTACAACATCGATGCAGATACCCCTTATGAAGAAGTCTTGTCTTTTCTTCATGATGTTCATGAGAATCGAATTAGTATCCTTTGGCGAGAATATAATATGACCATTAATCACTATAAGTGTGTACGCATGTGTGTGAAGGTATAAGAATGTGGAAGTGGATGAAGAGAAAACTAACAATAACACCCGCCCACACCGACACCCATAACCTCATTAACATTGAATCATTGGTTTACTCAACAACTACTTAGCATCATTTCGAAAGGAGCAACCTGTATGTGAAGTTAAAAGTAAATCTTCGAGAAAATACATCTACACGATCTTTTTTATTCATCAAAAACAACGAAACCATCTTTTTTTTTCTCAAGAGCAATTGTTAACGATAGTCGAATGGGTTTATTCGGCAGTGAATTGAAATCTCCCAAATATCGATCAAACATTATATTCCCTCAGCAGTGCCAATCATCATCTGATCAAGTGTCGACAGATGTATAATATCCTTCACAGAAGGCCTTGGCCCCTTTCAATCAAGCACTCGAGGCGGCCTATCTTGAACATTAATTTCGCATTCGTTTGGTTCTTGACCGTCACCACTGACAACCGTAAAACAACCGAATATAGTCTATTGTTCTCCATCTATCATAGCCAGCGAATATTCCAGTCTGAATAGTTCTCCAGAAAAATTATTGATTATCGATGTCACGACGGTAACAATAGTAGCAATGATAACCAATGATTCAGTATTGGTCTACATGAATTCATTATTGAAAAAGGCAAGTGAAGATTTGTTTCAAGACAAATAATTAACGATTTCATCTTCTGTTTTCTACTTGTTGGATTTTGAAGAATTTGTGTGAGATTATTTCTCATTTTCTTTCTTCGTTACACTTAAACTATTAAAATTATGTTTTCTCGCTCTATTGCTATTCGTCATCAAGAGAAACTATTCGATGATGTGTCTATCTACATGCAATGTTCACTATACATCGATATTCGATGACAGCTATAGTAACAATATCAATAACCGTATTAACGCTAAAACCCGATCAGTTCAAGTTGCCTTTAATGGATTCAACCTAATCTCATCATCGCACTTCTTTCACGGGCACACTTTTCCATCAGTATGCTTTTATCTTCATGCTATTCGCCGTTGATTAAGAAAATTGAAAAAGACATTTTCATACATACACCACCTATTAGTAATAGTCAGTCTACGAAGTATTTTTCTTTGTATCAACAACACATAACTTCTATGGAAACCAACCATATTGTCGATAAGAAGCATTCAATCACTAGTTCGATGAACAAAACTAATAATATGAAACAAAAATTCAACAAGAAACAAATGTTTATCAGCCAAATCAGTTACACTATACTAAATATAAAACTAATAAGAGAAAGATTGAAAGAAGGACAGAAATATCGTTATCTGATTGAGAATCAAAGAATCATGTATATGTATCTCTTTTCTTGTCATTTCCTGATGAACATGACGAATATTGATGACAGATATCAAGTAAATGTTCAAGTGAAATCTAATCTTATCTCATGCTGATCGCATACGTTATTCTAAAGACTTCATTGTTTGTATGTATTGTGCCAACGATTACATTTGAGTATGGCTATTATCCTATAGGATACTGATAGTGACATTGCCATTATCTTTCGAGTGCAATGAATGAATCTGTATCAATCTCAGTTCGATTTTGTTTTTCTCTATTCGTAGAAATCTCTAGAAATTTTCCTCACACTTATATCTCACCGACAATCGTTACACTCTGTTCCATTGACTTCGCATGATTTGTTCCAATATCAATGAATGATCGTATTCCCATCAAAATATTTATTCCATTAATCAAAAATCGAGCGTAGTTTTCAATCGAAACAAACTTCCTTCTGCGACACCAGACGTAGCTAATACTGACAAAAAAGAAGACTGTTAATAGTGAAACTACTGGATTTTCGACCAATGAACATCTTCATGCGTTTTCCTACAAGACAAAACTTTATCTCTCATGAAAATATCACTGGTAAACAATATGTCTACCCATCAATCGAATTCGTTCGATGTTAGATGATGCTACGATTGTAGTAGTAATGACAGTTGTGACTCACATAGTTTGGGTTTAGTACGCCTAACCAGCGCTGTTACATGTCAGTCGAATATGAATACAAAAGTTTCATTGAATGATAGATTCTCTACTCTAACTATGACAATACCCATCTAGGTCTAACACCAAAGAAATAATGAAGAGCAGCCCCATATGCTCTAGTATCGAGTGTGTGTATGCAAGCATTTATCTTTGATAATATATGATGTATACTTTTTCAATCAAAAGGAGTGTACAGAAAACAAGTTGTTATATAATTACAGCTAAACTCTTTTTTCTTTCTTTCTTTCTCCTCTCATATGAAAGAGAAAAATAATTATTAACTAAATGGAAATGTTCATAATGAGAAAAAAATTAACAAAGATGAAGAAAGAGAGAAAATGCATTCTTTGCAACGTTAACCAAGTTCTCCATGCAAGTCTCATCTATAATTTATCATTGGTAATAGTAACTATGGTAGAGAGAGAAAAAGCTTCCAACTTTTATTTTGCATTTCTGTGAAACGACAAACACATCGATAAATTTTAACAGAGAATAAAAATAAGAAAGTGAAATGCAGTCAGTTATTATTTTCTGGTGAAATTAATTTCAAGTCAGACGGAGAAGAAACTAGGAGTGCTTCGTCTTCTTCTCAGTTTACAGTATAAAATCTCCAACATCACCAACGCGCCGTAAACTTGACAATTGTTTGATGGAATAGATAGTGACATTTAGAACATATGAAAGTGTTATCTTAGTTCATCTCTGATTGTCTGATGCGTAACATTTATCAGCATTGTTCAGAATATAGGCCAAAGTTAAGATGACATGCATCTTTTAAGCTTCAATTCGAAATACTTCAGTATATGAATTGTTCATTTTGATCGAAGATATTAGAGAGTATCGTTAGAATCTTGGAAGAGAACTCCACTACGACTTGATTATATTGATTCACTGATAACAACTCGCATTTTCTGGTCTCAATAAGAAAAAGCTTGTCAATATACCCTTTTTGGAACTAAAATGTAGAACTCACATGTGTTCTTAAACCTCATAATACTCATATAAAGTACGTAAGATGAAAAATCTCTAGCAGACTATAGTTATTTTCCAAGAATAATTGGTCGTCAGAGAAACGATCTGTCTTATTCATTTCTACATTTCGAACGGAACTTCTCTTTTTTTTACTAGTGCTCTATTTTTTGTTTTTGTCATGTTATTATTCACCCGTTGTCTTTCATTTTCGTATTTTGTTTTCCTTAGTTTAACGTTATTGTTATTCGGATCATTCATTCGGCTGCCAAATAAGTCTGTTGTACATATCCATTATATCTACAGTAGATCTCAATGCACTATTATATATTTCGATAAGTTCAGAAACACTGACATTGATTATTTCCCAAAGTTATAACTTATTCAATTCGTGCTCTTTATATTGATCATATGACGACTGTGGCAAATCAATCTATCATTGTCTATCATCCTTGAGATCCATTGCATAAATTTTTATCTGCGCAAGAATAAAAAATTATACTATTTATAATATTCGCAAACATATTCCAGTCATTCAAATTTCGAAAAAAGCTTTTCAATGTTCTACAGTTTTCTAAAACAACAGTTTCCTGTATTCTTCCTTATTTTTTTATCTTTCCTTGACATGTTTTTACTTCGTGCGTTTTTTTTGAAAATTTTATTCGATAATTGAGATTTCTCACGACTTGTTTTAGTAATGAAATGAAACACATATCAAACAATGTTTCTGTATAACTTTTAACACACAATACTCATATAGTTTTCTCTCCATGATGTTAAGCTCTGAGACTCGAGAAATGAATTATAACCATTAGTTGTGCTATAAAGTTCAAATTAATTGTCTTCTATTCCTTATTCTTATCACTTCATCTCGTAGGAGTATAGATATAATTAAAAGTTATTTTTTGTTTTTGTTTGCACCATTTAATTAAAGTAAAAATAACAATAATGATAATAAATATTTTGCAATACCATAGAATAATACCACTCTTGGCACTGATATAGAATAGAAAATGAGCATCTCGACCAATCCATGTGAATCCATTTTCTTTCCGAATAAACATAGGTCGAAAGACACTAAAGTCCAACAGACGCACAATTGCTTGTTCCGATGACGTGAAAAGTCGTTCTTGAATAGAGACATATATGGGGCCAGCACTGAGCTGCATAGTCCAAAAATGGAGAAGATAATAGTGATTGAACAGATGTAACCGAGAAATAAGTTGTCTATATAAAGGATGACCAGCAGTACTGATCAAAAAATCACTTTCAACTCCGAACGATTCACGTCGAGGAAAAGCAGCCAAATAAGTTGCGTCTGGTTCAAGTGATTCTAGAGTAACAAGTAAGTCACGAAAAGGACGATTGCAACCATTATCCATGTCAACATAGATGCCACCCACGTGGAGCATAAGAACATATCGAAATGAGTCGATACGCTGCATATCATATGGATAGGTTATATATGTCTTCCAATAAAATTGAGGCTCATGTTTTTTGACAAAAGCATCCATTTCAGCGTGAGACCATCGACGATATTTAAATTCACCGATATTTTTTTCCATAACCGATTGAACTGTTGCATTCCAAATAGATGGAACATCGTGTGTACGATAGGTTTGATGAATTAATCGAGGAATACGACGTCGAACCGAAGTAGCATTCGCATATCGAATAACATCATTTTCATATACCGTTCGTGGTGGTGTACGATATTCCAATGCGTTACATATCATATATGAAATAAACCATATGATGAAGATCCCCAATAGAATTATACAAACTACGAGATTCCATTTTTGCATAATTATTTTCGCAATACGAGCACTGATTAAACAGCGTCGAATTCTACAAAATATTCTGCATAATACTGATAGAATACTAAATAATATCTCACTACTCTTAAACTACAACAGATTTCTATAAAATGATGAATATATTTTATTTACCTTAGTCTCAATGTAGAAGTGAACTCTATTATTTCTTATGATATTTAATAAAATATAAATTGCATTGCAATAGTTTTTATTTTATTTTCGATTTTTATTGTGCATAAAACAACTTTCAACTAGAAACTAATAACAAATAATTCTAACAAAACTTATTGTTAAAAATTCAAGTACAAAAAGCTAAGTGATTAGAATACTAAGATCTAGATTTACTAAAAAATTTTCGTTCCATTACACTATAATACATAAGATACATTCATATGTTTCTCAAGAAACTGTTGGAATTTAACATATGTTAGATAATGCTTATTTAATTTGGATTAATGATATATAGGATGCTAATATGTTGTGGAAGCATTAATATATAAAGAGAACAATTAAAAAACATACTTTTAATGTTGTTTATTTTGACAAGCAACCTCTATAAAAGCTTTTCACTCTTCAAGAATTTGGTACAGAAAATCTGGTGTCTAGACAAATGCAACTGTAGCTTCAATATTCTGGAAAATTATATATTAGAGTTTAGTCAAAGAATTTGTTAAGTGTACTTTATTAAATTCTACTATTATTCATATCTATGATTGTTTTTCCTTACTAACTGCTTCGAAAATTTTCATTTTTCTCTATGTTAATAAAAATTATATCGTTAAAAAAATATAAAACCTGCACTACATATATATATATATATATAGATCTTTTCTGATGGTTATGATCAAGTCCAACGATCAATTATCGACATTAAAGATTGTGAATGTTGTCATTCAATGAAGGATTATATTTAACTCATAGTGGCATACCATCTACTTTGATTGTACAAAAAAGCTTTTTTGAGATTACTCTAGGTATAAAGTATTTTGTGACCCATAATTAAAATGAAATAAAAACCTAGAAGAGTTCAATATTCATAAGTGATGCAAATATTTAATAGAGCTTCAGATATGAGGAAACCATAGGAATCAGTTATAGATTTGTGCAAGTAGTATCTAATCTTTAGAAGTGTATAGGAATAGATATATAAGATTGTATGAATATCGCGAATTTATAGATATAAGTGTTATATATATATATATATATATATGTATAGAAAGAGAGAATAAACGAAAAATGAATGTTTAGAGTCTATGAATATACAAAAACTTTATACATTATAAGGAGGGTTTTGGAATAATACTCCAATTAATATGATGAATTTCTATGTATATGTAGTGTGTGCATTTAGAGAAGCGTTGTGGTATTTAAATATTTGTATTAGTGTTCATTATTGATAAAAATTTGCTACTGTAGCATTGGCATTTAAACAGACAAGCTTCTTCTGAAACGAAAGTCAAATTGTATGAAAAAGGATCTGAGTATTTTTACGAGGAATCGAAAACTTATTTACTTTTTATGATTTATAAAAGTTGTGAAGAAATAATCTACGTTAATAAGGCCGACTAAAACTGACATACCATAATGTTCTAGCAGGCTGTGAAGGGCCTCAAATGCAATATAGATTCTTTTTTTGTAAATGATGTATAATGGTAAGGATGAATATTTTGATTGATGCAGAATATTCTCTGAAAACATAAATTGAATAAGAGTATGTTTTTTTGTAAAGAACATTAGCTGGTGTTTATTATTCGGGGAATCATCTGACATGATCCGTTCTTTTTTACTAAGAAATTTAGAAATAAAGAATTTTTTCAGTATAACTTTATATGAAAAGATACGATGAAAATTATCGAACAAAATAAAAATTAATTATTCATACTAATTGACTAAATCTTCTTAGTGTAAAGCAGTTTAATTTTTGTTCTCTTCTAGTCACTGATCAGTTTCAACTGAGCTCTTTCATACTTATAAAAATATTTCAATTTTATTTTTATAAATTTTTCAAAATTCAATCTGTGAAATAAAATGTTGAATAGTTTCTATTAAATCGTAGTATGTTATGAATTATCTAAAGGAAAATACTGCTCAAATGGAGTACAAAATGTAAGTCTTAGAGGCATAGGTTTTATTTTTATAGAGTCTATATGACAACCCTAATACGAACATATACATCAGTGTTTACACTGTATTTGAATGAGATGCAACTTATACGGCATGCATATTATCGTATATAATGTTCACTTTTTGTCATATAAAACACAACAATATATAACTTAATTATTGGTATAAGAGGAGTTGGTTTCGAGATCACGTTCGGTTATAATTTAATCGCTCTCCTTTATGAACAAACGTGTAATATATGTACACATATCAAGCAAAACGATAAAGACGAACGAACGACAAGTAAAAAAAAAGATAAGTGTTTAAAGAAAAAGAGATAGAAAGGGTTAAAACTTTTTGTTATTTTTGGTGAAATATCTATTTTGAAGACATTTTGCTAGGAAGCTAATCATAGCCATACAAGAAGAGTAATATATCTTGCAAATTTTCTATGTTCTTTCCATCGGTATACTTGCCATTGATTATTCAAAAGATTAAACATCTCATGTCACATATTTCTTTGCACTACTACTGGTATAGCGTACATTATACTGAACCGTCTACCGACGATTTCTTTTTTCGATTCGAACCATATCGGATCTTCAATTGGTTAATATGTTAAGAAAAAACAAAATAAATTGATCTTCGTGAAATAAAAATATTGAAACGAATTACTTTTAGACTCCTATTCTCAAATGAGACAAATAAACTTTAAAAACGAGAACCTAGTTTAAACTACTTTTACTCGTTTTGACTATATCGTAAAACTATTGTACGGTTACATACGTTCGAAGCAAAATTACGCTGTAATCATTTTCACATGGTGACGATAATACCAAGAGAACAAGTACATTTTTTCGTTATAGAAAAAAAAAACTTAACACGCACATCGTCATGCGACAGATAGTTTGTATTTCTGTTTCATACAAAGGTTTGTTACCTTCGGGATGTGCGTTATATAAAAGAAGAAAAAATAAGGTGCAATGATTTTATCTATCTATATCGTTGAATATTAACGGAGGACATTTGTCGTATTTTTGCATCGATTTGAATATACTACAATACCAATAATAAAGGACTTTTTTTCAATGGCGCATTCTTATTGGCACGTCTATGACGACCAACATTTTTACAATAATAAAAAGAATTCTAAGGAGTCGATTTACTGGAATTGAAAATATATTAAAAAATATTCTACACAATATTCTTCATTTATTGGTGTTTTAGAAAAAATGTTTAACAAGAAAAATTTCGAAGTGAAAAATACCGAAAAGAAAACTTTGTTTAGATTAAACCGAATCATTATTTTAAATCGATTCCAAGCAATCGAAATCTTTCAACTGTTCAAGAAAACATAATTACTATTTTTTACAGAATTTAATTCTGTATCCAATCATAAAAAGACTTCACTATTTTATAGTAGAAGTGTAACTTGTGAAAAAAATTATTTTTCATAATGTATCCTAAAAATCTGTAAAATGTTTATTGCAAACTTTTATTCTCTTCAACAAAACTGTTAAGAACATTGATGAGATGGTAAATATGTAGAGAAATAAATTTTCGGCCTTTTGATGTAGAATATTTGACGGTTAACATTGATCTTGATAATTAGATATACACAGGGACATTTGTTTATTTCTAAGAAAAAAAAAACAAGAATTCACAGTTGGACAATTCAATAAGTATTTATCTGTCGAAGTTCACGTTATTATGAAAAGTATTTTTGAACGAAAGAATTGATAGTTTTGTACAGACTTGAATTTTTTATTCACCAAGAATGAGAACCGAAATTTAAAACAAGCTTCAAATTCTTTGTAAAATAAAAAAACGAAAGTCAGTTTTGTATTATAGAACATTTATTAAATATTATACTTGTACAATTTAATTGTATTGTTAGAATTTGATACAAAAAACATGTTCCCTATAAATCGATTTTAAATATCTTTTAGAATTATTGTCATCATTACAAAGAATATTGTAAATGTATCTAAATAAAATCCGACGAAAATTTTTTGCAAATATTAAAAAGCAAATTCAAAATTTTCTTTATCGTTGTGATTATCATGAAAATAATGTTAAAGTTCAAATAATCCAATCTTCGAAATTTTTATCTATTGTTACACTATTTGTTAATATCAGCAGAGACAACAATGATATCATCATATGCAAAAAAATAAATATCATTAATTCGTTTTTTTTCAATATGTACTAAGTTTTTCACCGATATCAGTGTCGCTATTGTCAAATGATCGGAGAAAAAAAAAGGCGACTGTTTCGTATGTATATTATTGTTCTGAAAATCTTGGCCTAAATGAAAAATCTTTTATAGACATATAAGTATATACTTTGCGTCGCTTTCATGCAAAATATTGTTCCCATTTGTTGCTAGTCCTTACAATTTGGATCTTCTATGGTATCTGACGAAGAATATTTATATGTGAATGAGAAAATGAGAATCGTTCAATCATCCATAACGAAGACGGATTTGTCGATCTCTATTCAGGAAAGCTATCCGAAGCATAATGTTTTGATCTATGCATGCATTGCCTATCTTGATCTTAAGCTGCATGGAAAAGACACAATTTTCTGTGATCATCTAAGTCAAACGTAAATAAAAATGGAATGAGAAATGCCAAGTCGTTGCCTGTTCGTGGAATGAAACGTGAAAAGTACAAAAGTATTGTCATTTTCTTAATGTTGGCATTTGGAACCGTACTTGATAAGTTTGTAGTTACTTTCATTTTACTAGAGCTCTCAATCTTGGTTATTAGTATTACATAGGACATACTATCAGAAAAACTTCCGTCTCTTTGAATGAATGACATCAGATTTGTATTACTTTTGATAGAGCCAGTAGCAAAGTTTATTTTGATGACAAATTAGACGAACGCTCCATACTTAATCTCTATTTCTGATCATGTACGTTTTATGTGGATGGCAATATGAGTTCAAATTTCACCATTGTTGTGATGTTTCGTAGTGATATCATGGAAAGCTCGGTGGATTCGCCATTTAAATTTAGATTTCACCTTCAGTAAAAATTATAGATCTTTTCATGTCATATTGTGCTTTGATCCAGGTTATTTCGATCGTCTAAGTACGAAAAACTGTTTTCAGTAATCAATTAGTTTTAGATTGAAAAAACTGCACAAGAACTCAATAAGTATTTGTGGTTAACATAAAATTTTTTTTTAAATAATAAGCCGATAGTGTAGTGTTTTGAACTTTTATTTTCTTGTATTTGAATTCTTTGGTTATCTAATCACTAAAGAACTATAAAATTTTCATTGCAAGAATGTGAATTATGAAACGAAAGAGAAAAATTTGCTGTTACTTGAAAATTATAGTACAAATTGATCGTATTATTTTTCAGTAGAAAGATCATAATTCTTATGAACTTTCATGTTCTTTTACGCTTTAGTATTGTATCCATAATTTCCTAAATTGTGCTTTTTGGAAGATTTGAAAAATGTGAGTTCTGGAGTTTTGCTCAGTCGATGAGAGTTAAATAAACATTTTAGAGAAATTCTGCATTAATTAATTTGTATGAACTAGAAAATAACTGGTAAAAATATAAAATATTGTTAAAGTTTATTAGAATTTATTAGTATGATATATTGTATCAAATTAAACAAAAGTCTATCAACAACGTACCCTCTGTATTCTATTTGATGTACAATGACCAAGGAAAAAAAGGTCTTGCTTTTTTCTCATTTCATGTTTCTTTAAAATTTGCAAATAAAATAAATATTAATTGAAATTTTATTGATAGAAATCGTCTTCTTACTGAAACAAAAAAGTTAACAATTAGAAAAGGTGTTATTCTACGTAGAAATATGTTTATGTTATTATTAGAAATCAGCCGAACGTCTTGGAAACATAGTTGACTTATTGAATAGAGATCGACTAGTTTTCAGTTCAAAATTCAGATGAAATGACCAAAAGAACCGTTCGAACAAATTAGATCTTATTATAAGATCTGTCCCAACAGTTCAGTTCCTGTAACTGAATTGTTTAAAAAATGTTGTTTTGTTTTAGGAATGGCATTTCAGTAGTAGAACATAGATTTTTTTAATATCTAGAAGTGCTTTTCTCAAAAATAGAACGAAAATTGTTCAGATAGATCCGAACTTGTCGATCTCTGGCATTGATCATCAATGGTTAGCTGGCAATCTTTATAAAAAAACTAAAGTGTCCGCATATATACGATGATTTATCCTGAATTCGAATTATCTTTAAATAATCATGTTTTTTCTTTCGAATTAAATAAAAGAAGTAATCAAAACTTATATATTTCCATTTTCATCTTTTTTTTTTGTAATGTTCATTTTTTGTCTTTCGAAATAAAATCAAATTAAAAGATATGAATTATTAAATACGAATATATATTTTCTAACGATAAACAATTAAATTTATTAGAAATGAAATTTTTTTGATAAATTCAAATGAAGAAGCAACCATATAATTCTGTTCAAAGACTTTTCTTTTAAATATCTTTTTCAAGAAAATGAAATCAGAATTGAATTTAAGAGGACATTTTTATTCTTTACTCATCTATTTATCTTAGCAATAAATGTTCTTCTCTTTCATCATAAACTAAACTCCACTACATGAAAAAAGACAAGAAGAAACGGGAAACAAAAACAACAAGTAAATTTATTTATTTTTGATATTTTAACGAAGAATTCTACTCATCAAGAAAATTTTACTGTCATATTTCTATTAAATATATAATTATTAAACTATCAATAGAAATCGTTAGAATATTAGAAACAAAAATAAGTAAAGTAGTAATAAATCTACTTTTTTTTGCTTTAAATTATTTCTATAGGAAGTATACTTCTGCCATTCAGCTACTTTGCAGTACGGATTGCATTCTAATGACAGATACAATCGCCGATATCTTCACTAGAACTATGACTAGCTGTAGGTCTAAACAGAAGACCGACCTGACGCAGAGTTCTTGCATTCGATTGTTTGAGTTTCCCGTATTCGCTAACTAACCACGTATTAGTCACAAGAGCAAGTGTATATCACAATATAGTCAGCGTACTATCGGATGGGTGATTCGAGACAAACAGCCTTGAGCTACTCCTCGAGTTCATCACAGTCTTGTGTACATCAATTGATTGAGCAACATGAATTGTACATGGTTTTTTGTTGAGATGAATTAATAGAAAAAAAAGACCATAAATATAATTTATTTAAATTTTTATTATTCTTTTCTTCTTGCTTCTGCTTATGAGTATACTTTTTCTTTCTTTCCTACTCTTTCTTCAAGCTAGTGGTGTTATGATTTTTATTTATTCTCTTGATATTCTTACAAACGTGAGCTAATACTCTCATAACTACATTAGTAGCAAATCGTAAAACATTTTGCATTAGTGAGGGTACTTTCTGACTTAAATATCTCCATT